CAGCCTATATATAGTTAAGAAAACCGCAGGCCCAAAATGGTGCCACTTAGTGAGTTCCCAAACCGGGGCTTAACACCCAATCTTTTGGTAGTTTCAACCTCCCCCAGAAATGTGGCCTTGACTGGTCAGTCAGGAAGTTATTCTTTTCATCCAAGAGTCTGTCACCTGGGTCCTCTCCATCCCCAAAAGAAAGCTGAGGTAATCTACATGAGAAGACACTTCGCTTTTTCCCCTTGCAAACTGCCCCCTCTGGAAGAATCCTTTTCCTTTGCTAATAACTTTCTTACCCTTACGTTCCTACCTATAAAACCTTCCATTTTGTACACCTCCTCTCTACTTGCTAGATGGGCTGCTGCCTGGTTCATGAATCATTTGATAAAGCCAATTAGATCTCCAACTTTTTATATATGGGGAGAGAGAGAGAGCGAGAAGGAGAGGGAGAATAAGCTAAAATATCAACAGTGATTTCTCGACCTAGTTAACTCTTTTCTGATTTATATTTTTCAGTAGTCTGTATTTTATGCAGTGGCCATTTTTTAAAAGTTATTTTGTTTTTAAGCTTTTTATTATGATATGTAATGTGCATAATAAAAAACACATACGGACCATAAATTAATTGTAAAATGAAAGCTTGCACATAGCTCGGGCTACCACAACAACACACCATCGACAGAGCGGTCAAAGCACAGAAGCTGACTTCTCACAGTTGCAGAGGCGGGAAATGGGAGCTGAGGTGTCTCTTGGCCAGGCTGTGGTGAGAGCCTTCTCCTTGGTTTGCTAAGGACTGATTCCTTGCTACATCCTCACATGGCAAAGAGAGAGTCCTGAAATCCATTCCTCTTCTTACAAGGACACCAGTTCTCCTGGGTCACGGCTCTGCTCTTCTGACCTAATTTAACCTTGTCACCTCCTTAAAGGCCCCTTCTCCAATACAGTCACATGGCTTCAATATATGGATTGGGGGGGGCATAATCCAGTCAATAGTGGCGGTGTGACAACTACTCACGTCACTAAATGGAACATCATGAGCACCCCACAAGCCCCTTCTCAACTATGTCCTCCCTCCTCTGCCCTATAGATTGTACTTATATTTTTATGTCCTAAGTAAGCATCTCTAAACTAAATAGTTAAGTTCTGCTTGTTTTTAAATTTTGTATAAACGGAATCATACTTACATAATCTTTTATGTCTGACTTTATTCATCCTTGTTTTTTGGAACAATAATTTACTCATTTCCATTGCTATACATTATCCTATTTTTAAAATATAAGAGAGATATTTAATGCATTCAAAAAGTTTTGGACAATTGGGTTGTTTCCAGTTTGGGGCTTTATGGACAGTGTTTGTAAACTTTCTTGTAGCTATATCCTGGTGCCTATGCATATTTCTGTTGAGTGTATAATTAAGGATCAAAGTATATGTGTGTCTTCACCTTTATTTGAGGATATTCGCTGATTTCCAAAGATGTTGTACAAATTTACGTTCCCACCAGCAGTATACAAGTTTCGGTTGCTCCCTACCTTTCTTAATATTCGGTATTGTCACAATTAAATCATCTCTCGGTTATAATTTTTAAATTGTTTTATTTATTTCTGAGAGAGAGAGAGAGAGAGAGAGAGAGAGAGCATGAGCAGGGGAGGGTCAGAGAGAGAGCGAGACAAAGAATCCAAAGCAGGCTCCTGCATCTGAGCTGGCTGTCAGCACAGAGCCCGACATGGGGCTTGAACCCACGACCGTGAGATCATGACCTGAGCCGAAGTTGGATGTTTAACCGACTGAGCCACCCAGGCGCCCCTCTCGGTGTAACTTTTAAAAAAATTTTTAAAGTTTATTTATTTATTTTGAGAGACGGAGAGTGTGGGAGGGGCAGAGGGAGAGGGAGAAAGAAAGAATCCCACGTGGGGCTCAAACCCGTAAACCATGAGATCACGACCCCGAGCTGAAATCAACAGTCAGATGCGTAACTGACTGAGCTGTCCCAACCGCTCAGTGTAATTTTAATTCACATTTCTTTGGTTAAGGATATTTTCATATGTTTATTGACCATTTGGGTTTCTGCTTTGGTGAAGTATCTTTCTTTTTTTTTAATGTTTTATTTATTTCTAGGAGAGAGAGACAGCGTGAGCCGGGGAGGGTCAGAGAGAGAGGGAGTCACAGACTCTGAAACAGGCCCCAGGCTCTGAGCTGGCAGTCAGCACAGAGCCCGACGCGGGGCTCGAACCCACGAACCGCGAGATCATGACCTAAGCGAAAGTCGGACGCTTAACCGACTAAGCCACCCAGGCGCCCCTTTGGTGAAGTATCTTATACAAATATTTTGCTCACCTCAAAATTGGTTGCTCGATCTTTTTCTAATGATTTGTAGGGGCTCATTCTTCTGGATAGAAACATTTTTTAGGTACGTGTGTTGCAAATATCTCCTACTCAGGAGGCTTGCTTTTTCACTCTTACAAAGTTGTCTTCTCATGAACAGAAATTCTTAATTTTAGCATGCTAAAATGTATCAGTTTTTTCCTCTATGATTAGTGCTTCTTGTGCCATATGTAATAAATCCTTCCCTAACCTGAGGTCATGAAGAAATTCTCCTTTTATTTTTCCCTAAAAGCTTTGTTTTTGTCTTTTATAAAAGAATTTAACTATTCATCCACCTAGAGTTGATTCTTGTATGTGGCAGAAAGTTGGATGTTCAAAGTAATTTTTCTATTAAGATACCGAATTCTTCGGGGCGCCTGGGTGGCTTAGTCGGTCAAGTGTCCGACTTTCGCTTAGGTCATGATCTCGCGGTTCGTGGGTTCGAGCCCCGCGTCGGGCTCTGTGCTGACAGCTCAGAGCCTGGAGCCTGTTTCAGAGTCTGTGACTACCTCTCTCTCTGACCCTCCCCTGGTCACGCTGTCTCTCTCTCTCCTAGAAATAAATAAAAACATTAAAAAGAAATTTTTTTAATGGATTATTCATTCTTTAAAAAAAAAAAAGATACCGAATTCTTCAGCACCATTTATTGAGGACTGCCCTCTCCACACTGTGCTGCGGTGCAAATTCAATGGCTGTACGCGAGCCAAATATTCTGTCCCACGAGGCTGACTAATCTCACCTCCGCTGCACATGGTTTAACTATTGGAGCTTTACGGTACATTCTAACATCCAGTAGGGCCAGTTTTCCTCTCCCATCTTGTTTTTTCTTCCTCAAAAGTGTTGGCTATAATTTGCTCTTTGCATTTTTATAGAAATCTTAGAGTCAATTCATTGAGTAATAAAAAAAAAAACTTGTTGGAATCTTGATTGGGCTCACATGAAGTTCTTCAGTCATTTTGAGTAGTCTTAGAATATTGTGACTTTGAATCCGGGAATATAATACATCTCTCCATGTATTGGATTTTCTATCATCTCACTTGCTATTTTTCATAATTTTTTTGGTAGAGATCTTACTCATACTTTGATAATCTTGTTTCTAGATACTTTTATTGTAAAATGCCAGTGTAAATGGTATTTTTTAAAAACCATTGTTTGGGGGCACCTGGGTGGCTCAGTCGGTTAAGCATCCAACTTCAGATCAGGTCATGATCTTACTGCTCGATGGGTTCGTGCCCCGTGTCAGACTCTGTGCTGACAGCTCAGAGCCTGGAGCCTGTTTCGGATTCTGTGTCTCCCTCTCTCTCTGACCCTCCCCTCTTCACGCTGTCTCTCTCTCTCAGAAATAAATAAAAACATTAAAATTTTTTTAAAAAATAAGCATGATATTTGCTACCTCCTTCAGTGTAATTGCCCTTCATCAGAGCACGGCAATTCCTTTAGATTCCTTCTTTTTCTAGGTATTTCTAATCACAAACAGATACCAAACTTTATCAAATGATTTTTCAGCATCAATTAAGATGACTACATGATTATTCTCTTTAATCTAGTCATAGAAATAAAACATATAGTGGACCCTTGAACAGCACAGGGGTTAAAGGCACTGACCCTTGCACAGTAAAAACCTACATATAGGTTTTGACTCCGAGAAGTTTAACTACTAAGAGCCTACTGTGGACAGGAAGCCTTATCGATAACATCAATCATCAATTAGCACATATTTTGTATGTTATATGTATTAGAGACTGTCTTCTTACAGTAAAGTAAGCTAGGGAAAAGAAAATATTATTAAGAAAATCACAAGGAAGAGAAAATACATTTACAATATTGTATTATAATTATTGAAAAAATCCATGTAAAAAGTGGACCCACACCACTACTACATTGTTTAAGGGTTACATGTATTTTCTATCGTGGCATGTCTTAATGTTATAATCAGCAAAAATATATTTTTTTCATTTATAAGGTGGAAAAGACAAAGCTCTACAGACTTCCCATTATTATACCAAAGGTATGTCAGTCTTGCGCTGAGCTGGGGGAACCTCTCTTGGATTTTTTGGTGCTTTTGGAAAGGCCCCACTAGGTTCTGAAACTACAGAGTTTCCTTCTGCTAACCCAGGGAAATAGAATACTCTCAGGACTATTAAGGGCACTTTGAAGTGTATGAGCCATGATAACATAAATAGCTTCATTCATGGGTAATTTTCTGAATATGTTCCAGAACCATTTGTTCTTCATTCTGTCTCAACTTTGCTCCTGCCTCTCAGAGTAAGCCTTCCCTGAACCTGGTTCCTGTGTGCCTGGCAGGTGAGTGTGGGGAGTGGGTGGTGGGGAGCCTCATCTGCCCGGCCTACCCCAGACTAACGAAGTCAGACCCTCTGGGACTGAGACCCGGGCATTAATATTTTAAAAATCTCCCCAGGGGATCCCAAGGTTGAGCACCACCCATCTACAGTTCTTCAAAGCTGAGAATCGCATGTGTGCTTATGAACCAAAGTCCACAGAGAAGGAAATACCTAACCATCATGAGGTCTGCGAGCCTCAAAGTTCACTAGCAGGAGCAAAAAAGGAAAAAGCCACGGAGAGGAAGGAGAGGTGGAGTGAGCAGGAAGAGGATGCACAGGAATGAGAGTGACAGCAAGTCTACTTACTCGATTCTCTCCGGAAGCTCGTTCTGAGTCATGCCCACACAGTTGACCAAAATGGTGACCGTAATAAATAAACTGAACCACCTGAGAGCACTGTGTTAAGGAAAAGCTGAGAGTCGCCGTATTTCCCTGACGTCATCTTGCTGCTGAACAATTAAATTCATAGCTTTTAGGTAGGATCAGCTTTGCGGCTTTGTCACGTAACAGCTGCTAACATTTACAGAGCGCCTATCCCGGGCTGGCTACTCCACGTTGTTTCTAATACAGCTGGACCTAGAGGTAGATATCCAATCTACGTGCCCGACCCAAGAAAATAGGCTTAAAACGCTTACGTAAGGTTTCCTAGGTCATACAGCCAGTCAGCCATGGTGCTGAGATGTGTCCTCGGATTGTCTGATAGCAGAACCCTGAGCCAGCAGGCAAGAAACAAGGACCCTTTCTCCAAAATGTCCTGCTGCCCTGACGCCTTCGTTTCCCTCTACAATACAGCCTGGAATTACATCCAGCAAAGGTCTCTTTTTTCCTAAAAGCCAAAGAAAATACTCCTCAGAAGTTAGAGGTAAAGGGAGGATTGCCAGCTTTCCTGGGAATTAATTCAGTCAGACCGTTTGCCCGACTCAGCTGAGATCGGCCACACTGAGGACGCGGAGCCCGGGCCAGGAGTGGCGGGGGCAGGCGCGGGGAAGGGAGACTCCAGATGCAAGTGGGCTGTGGTAGAGAACCCGGGTAACCAGAGGGAAGAGTTTCCGAGGTTGAGGCAAGGGATGACCTCAAAGGGAAGGAGACCGTGAGGAAGGTGAGTGGAAAGGGCTAAATAGATGGAGGGAGGCCCAGAGAGAAATTTCTTCCAGTGGACATTTTTCTCAGGACGAGCATGGGCTCCTAACAATCACTTGCAAAGGAAAAACAAAGCCTGAAGATAAGCTTGACCTACAGAGAGCGCGAGCCACTCATCTTTCATAATTTCAGTTCGAGCAGAGGTATTTTAAAGCTATTATAGTTTTCTGTAACTGTCTTTAATGTGCCCTGTTTTGCAGTTACTTAGGAACACATCTATTTTGAAAAGGGAAATTCTGCTAATTAAGCCACATTTTCCTGTTGACTTGCAATTAAGTTAGGAAATATGTTCACATGGGGGGAAATGTTAACCCAAGGATTAAATTAAAATCATATCTCCAACTCCACAAACCTTTAAAAGCAATGTCTTAGGTATAATGTTACTTGTGGAAACATGCATAGGAAAGTTGATTAGAATTACTAATTTGGTGAAATATTAATAATAGGACACCGAGAATTCCATAGCTTCAAGAGTATCTTTTGGGAGTCGAGCTACCAAGTTCATAACATTTCAATATACACATGCGGGCTTTTGTGAGAAGCCGACACTAAATAGCTTTTTGGTCCAGCTATGACTCCATCTGGCAATTATGATTCATCAAATCTCAAGGTGAATAGAATATTCACTGGTCACTTGATTCTTTAAAGGGATTTTATTTCTAATTAGGTGTTTCCTACGGCTAATTGAGACATAACTCATCCAGGATGCATGGAGAGGAGTTTGTATATTTGCTGCTTTTCTTTATTTGTAGTTTTTATGTAATTGGATATATATATATTTTAAAAACACCCAAGTGGAGATGACATACTGAGAGAATAAATTACCTCAGTTCATTTCCATTAACTGCCTACTTATTTATTGCTGATATTGTTCTAAGCAGGATGCAGGCTGGACCTCTTAACTGGCTGTGTGACCTTGGACAACTTATTTAATGCCTTTGAGTAATAGTTTCAACATCTGTAAAATGGGGATGCTAACCCCTTCTTCAAAGATTTCTGTACCTGTGACGGTGAGGAGGTATGTAGCAAATGGTAGCCTACTATTATCGTTACATATAGGATCAGAAGATCCAAGATAGAATTAAGAAATATAACCCCCACTGCTTGGCCATAAAGATCAAACATGTGAAGGGAAACGTAATGCAAGTACAAGGGGCGGCAAGGTTTCATACCGGGGCGAGCCCGGGCCAGAGCTACCAGCTCACCGAGCGCTGTCCCGCAGCGCAGAATGGCAGGGAGAGCGCTCCTTTTACCAGAGCCTCCCAAGAAGGGGCTGGCTACCATCTGTCAGGCAGCTGAGGCAAGGCTGTTCCTGCAAACCAACCTCCCGGAAGCCAGGGCTGAATTTGTCATTAGGAACTTCCAATTTGGACAGTCACCAGGGAAGATCCTTGGGAACCAAGCCAAAGTCTCTTTTTCGTCCTGGTTTGGCTTGCCTTGAAAATCAAAGCAAAACAAAACAAAAACGGAAGGCAGATTCCGAAGCTACCTAGGAGCAGTTAATAGAACACAGGATTTGACTGATGTGTCTCTAATCAGTACTACACGCCCCAGTGGCATGAGCCTCGCACCGTTGACAGGTTTCTTTCTGTTGTTGTTTTTGCATTGCTGACCTTTCTAACCTGCTGGCAGTTTGGGGGTAACTTGGGAGGTTGGCAGTGCCCAGTGACCAGCGTGGTCCCACCGACACAATCTAGCTCCACCCACTGTGGCCTGTCCCCTCTGTCCTCTGGCAGGTACTGCTTTTTTGCCACTTCCCAGCATGGCTAAGGCGCAGGGTAACAGCCCATGCTTGTCTCATCTGCCCCAAGAACCCCCAGGGCCCTCTGGGTGGTTATTATGTCGTGAGATGAGCAGGCCTCATATGGTAAAAGTGTGCCAGGCTCTACATCAGCAAAGCTCCTTCATACGGAGGACGGTTTCTGGGTGATGCATGCGCAGGTGTGTCCCGACCAGTCTGGGTGAACCCCAACCCACCTGTGGCTTGCACGAGCACCTCCTCTGTCTTCGGGCTGCTTTGGGGTCCTGGACACATGAAAGCCACAGCATTTTTTCCTTTCGACTTAATGATTTCGTTGTCTCAGGGCTCAGTCAGAGAAAACCTCTATTGCTAAGCTCTGGAGAAGGTACTGGACACAGGGCAAAGCCTGATTCTAAAAGGAACCGTGTGGGAGAAGCGACAGTGCAAAGGATATGAGTGGACAGACACCTTGATGGCGGCTCTCCTGGTCAGGTTGAAAGGACTGAATAACCACAGGGCCCGAGTTGCACTAAACCGGGAAATGGTCCTCCCTTTGTTCAGCACCATAAACGTCTACAACAAAACAAAGCAGAAGGTGGGCCTACAGTGAGAAGCATGGGCCTCGCACAGCCATGTTGTCAAGCACGAAGGTGTCATCTCAGGCTTATGAGCAAGAAACGCTCTGAGAACCACGCATCCATCAGCGGAGAGCCAAGCGGAGAGGCAGAGTTAGTGGCGTCTGGGACTAAAAGCCATATCCTCACCCCCTAGCAAGACCCACAGTCACTTGACTGTGCATCAGGATTAGCCCACTGAGAGTGCCCAGTGGGCAGGCAGCTGACCTGGGGCTGGTAAGATGCATCAGGCCCACGGCCAGGATCCTGGCAGCAGGAAGGTGGGGTCTGGCTGCACTAAATTCCTCTTCTGCTTAGCGGGTCATCCCTGGTGCTGGGGTGTTCCCTCTACCCTCCACTTCCTACGTCTGTCTCGCTTTTGAAACCCTCTACTGGTTCCCTGTGAGCATCTGAGAAGGTAAGGGCTCTTGGTCCATGAGAGGAGGGAGAAAGACATTCCAGTGCCTTTTTATTTGCTCTAGAAACCAGATCTGAGATGGCTAATTCCTGCTCCTCCCAACTCCCAAATATGCACACTGTCTTCCCCGGGAGGGAATAGCTAAGACACTATACAAACAGGGGAATGGTCATAAAGCAGCGCTTACTTAAACTAGTGGTTCTCAAATGTTCTGATTTCAGGACCCCGTTGCTGCGTTTGAGGTTTTGAGTTTAATTAGCCCCTACCATAAATACTATAAAAATGCAAAGAGTGCCAAAGAGGGGAGTCGGATATATTTGTCATTAACTGAGTCTAGCTGATAGCCCCATCATCCAGGCACAGGAGAACCCCCTAGGCTGAGTGGGGCAGGGGCTTCCTCTCCCAGAGCTGAGAACAGCCTTTGAAGCACGTCACCCTTACCCGGTGTGTGCTGTAGAAGGGGTCCAGATCCTCCAGCGGCTCCCCAACCAGCTCTGCAGGGAGATCACCATAGAACTTGGGCAGCTGGTTGCAAGCTTTCAAGTCTAGCTGGGGCCGAGGCTTCTCTTCTTGGCCCTTCTGCTCTCTGGGCTTATCTTTGGCTTTCTTTGCTGCCTGCTTGGCAGCAATTCGCTTTTCAATCTCCGCCAGGGACTCTGGAGTGAATCGACGGAAGTTGGTAGTTTCCAGGGACCCAAAGGGGAATTCCATCTTCTCATTCTTTTTCAGGAAGAATTTACACTCTTATGAGAGTGGACATCACCACAGAGAAGTAACAGCCTGCCCACTGGCCCTCTCCCTCCAGTTCTTTCCTAACTCACACTCTGGTGCTAGAACAGCCTCCTCGCCCACTTCTGTCCTTAATAACTCACACTGAGCTCTTCCCAGAGTCTTACTGCCCTGTGGAAGTTTAGGGGAGGCTGTTTATTCCACCCTCCTCCCGGCACCTCAGGGTCAAGCTATGCCCTCCATGAGCTTATAAAGCGTTACTCCACCACCACCACCACCACGATCACCATCCCAGATTTACCCATCCTGCCCTCTCTCTTGTTTCTATGACCACTGAGCAATAGGCACTCTCCTGCACTCACTAAAGACTGGTTCATGTGGTCTGCGGCAAAAACAATGCTAGTAACATTTTCCCCTTTGAAAAGCATTTGTTAAAACGTATGGAAGACATTAACCTGTTTTATTGTTCTTTTATTATGCAATGGATGCTTTTAAGAAGTGACAGCCTTTCCTGGATGTGACAGCAAGAGAGAAGAGAAAGCCCAGCTCCTTGAGCACAGAGCTGGGCTTGCTAGTTGAGAGTGTGCTGTCTGCCGAATGCTCTAAGCTTGGCAGCATGTTTGTTTTATTTCTTTCTTTTCTTAATAAAATACATTATTTAATTTTCCTAAATAGTTGCTTTTTCTTCTAATATAATGGTTTTCTTTTTAAAAAAATCATAAATAAGAGTTTGCTTATTTCTTCAAATGATTGATTAACAAGTCCATTTTTTGCTGTTTATTTTAATCTAAGTGCACCCACATTTCCTGATAGCCTATCAATGACTTAATAAGTCATGATGATTTTAAAACTGTCCTATGGTCCCATCAGTTTGTAAAATCTTGATCTAATACATGGTCTCTAATGCTGCCAGACAGGGTCTTTGGGACTCTGGTCCCGCATGATCCATACAAAGCATGGAAGGCACTCCAATGACTAGGTTTTCTATGGGCTGCAATGTCCTCAGGAAGCTTGCCACCCCTAGCACTAGTCTGGAACCAAACAGAATGTCTGCAGTTTATGAGCATTACATATAGCTATATGTACACACACATATATGCTATACATAGAGCAGGATATACTGCTCTTTGAGTTAAGATACAGATTGTTGGACCCAACATACAAAGATTCTCATTCAATAGGTTTAAGGTGAGATCTAGGAAGCTGCACTTATAAGCTCATAGCTGAAGCTGTTGAAGGTGTCCTATCTTTGGGAGGCAATGGAAGCCAGTGCAACTATGGACGCGAGATGAAGTGAAGGTGTAGGATTTGGGTAGGATTTGATGACCTGCTCCAACAGCTCTAAAGTCTAGAGGAAACTCTTCCTGGATTGTAGAGGCAAGGCAGAAGACAGTGTTGCGTGGAGCAGGGAAGAAGTGGCCCAGCATCAAGTGGCTGGGTGTCCCTGCTGAGTGACCATCCTAAGAAACTGACCCCTCAGAGGTTTTGGTGAGGCAGTCCTTGGGACCTCCACCCTTCTGTTATCAGAGTTAGGGCAACCACTGGCCAGAAACTTCAGGGAGATTATACTCAAGGGATGGGAACAAGAATGGAATTTGATTGTTTCTGGGGGTTAAGCTTCTGTAGGTATTTGCCTTGTATCTGGGATTTCCAGGCTACCCACTGGATCTCTTCTGGATGGGCCATAAAGACATCTTAACTCATATTTCTGAGCCGTATTGAGTAAACAGTTTCTAAGAAGAAACAAAGTCAGCCAAAAGTGATTGGATAGATAATGGGTGTTTCACATTTGTCATTTCACTGGTGATGGAAATAACTAGTTGGTCTTCAGCCAAGACCTATGGTCTAGGCAGGCCAGCAGATTCAGGGCTGCTAAATGGAGGTGGATATAAGTAAGGGTACAAACGAGGGTCTCCTTGAGATTACGGTGGGTAGGACAGGTCTGATGTTGTGGTTTATAACAAGAAATATGTATTTGGTTGTTATCCCACTTCTGACACAGAGCTCTTAAAACCTTTAGAATTTCCTAATTGATGTCTTATGTATGTCAATGAGGTGCCTTTTGAAACTCACCTAAGGATGGGGACTGATTTCCAGAGGAACCAACCATTAAAAGATTGAAGCTTTCAGCTCCCCACCTCACCTCTGACTCCCAGGGAGGTTGAGTTCAATAACCAATGGCCAATGGTTTAATCAATCATGCCTACATAATAAAGCCTTTATAAGAACATGAAATAACAGAATTTGGAGAGCTTCTGGGTTGGTGAACACATGGAGATCTGGGGAGAGAGATGTCAGAAAGGACATGAAAACTCTGCACTCCTTTCCCATACCCTGTCCTATGCTCTATGCCCATACACCTTTCATCTGGCTGTCCCTGAGTTATATGAAACAAAGTGTTTCGATGAGTTCTGTGAGCCATTCTAGCAAATTAACCAAATGCAAGGAGGAGGACATGGAAACCTCTGATTTATAGCCAGTTGTTCAGAAGCATAGGAAACAACCTGGGCTTGCAATTGGAATCTTAAGTTTTGTGTATGTGGGCAAGGGGCGGTCCTATAAAACTGAGCTCTTAACCTGTGAGATCTGATGCTATCTTCAGGTAGATAGTGTCAGAATTGAGTTAAACTATAGAACACACAGATACTGTCTGCAGAATTGCACCTTGGTGGAGTGAGGGACCTCCTAACACACACACACACACACACACACACACACACACACACACACATTGGGATGAGTTGTTAGAACATCTTAACAGGACAGAGGGTTCTTTCTTCCAGTTTCTATTGTTATCAGTAGAATAAATGTTTCTATAGTCATGCAGTGAGTCTGAGTTGCCCACAAAGATGGCTGAACCTCATGAAAAGAATTACTTAAATTATCAACCTACTGCAACAACAAAGGTGGACACAATTGTCTCTTTAATCCCCACAGAAGTCCTAAAGAGTAAGTAGATGGCATTTTCTTATATATAAGACAATTAATAACCAGTGAATCCTCTAGGTTATAAATATATTATTGGACTAAACAAGCTTGTCTCTGGGACTTTTGATTCCATACCCAGTGCTCTTCTATTTCTGGGATGAGTCCCACTGGCTGGAGCAGTTCTGGAATCCTACTGACTGGGGCATCATTGGAGGGCTCTGGACTTAATAGAGGTATGGGTTGATCTGAATGCATTCAGATTTGATGAAGTTTTCAAGGGGTCTTAGAGCAGCCCCTTTGTGTTATATAGCTCATTGATACTTTTTAAGAAAAATAATGGGGGGGAGGGGCACCTGGGTGGCTCAGTTGGCTAAGCAGCCAACTTCAGCTCAGGCCATTATCTCGCGGTCTGTGAGTTCAAGCCCCACGTTGGGCTCTGTGCTGACAGCTCAGAGCCTGAAGCCTGCTTCCCATTCTGTGTCTCCCTCTCTCCCTGCCCTTCCCCTACTTGCTCTCTGTCTCTCTCTCTCAAAAATGATAAACATTTTAAAATTTAAAAAAAAAAACAAGGGAGGATTTTCCCCACTAATGTAGCTTTTGCCTCCGCATGGCAGATATGATGTAAGCAAACAGATAATTATAGTTTTTCCAGGTGAATGTATCAATGTGGGATTGCATCTTCTCATGCTGCTTATGGTTCCTCTCATCTATTTATATACAACCAAAATTATCATTTTCATGTACATGGGTCCTAAATCTGGACCTTTCTTCTGAACCCTGGACCCACTAATCCAATGCCTTTGACATACCCCTTTGAATGCTCCAGAGACACCTCAAAGTCATTGTGCTGCATGATCTCTCAATCTTCTCTCCACCTTGACTTTCCCTATTCCTGTGTGCCCTATCTCAATAAACTGCATAACCATTTTTCCAAAATGGAAGCTTAGGGGTTCTTCTTCATGTGTACTTCTCCCACAAGTCTCCCTCCCGTATGCCAGACATGGTTTTCAACTCCAGGGATACAGCAATGAAAAAAACTATAGACCTTTGGGAGCTTAAATGTAGCTCTGGATCTCAGCCAACTTAGGCTAGTTTCCTAGAAAGAGACTTTCCAGAAAAGACTGAAGTTACAGAGACATCATGGGAAGTCTTAAGTCACATTTGAAACATAAATCTAAATTTATATCTCCAGCCTTTCACCTACATTCTAAATTGTTATATGTAGCTATCTACTCATAACCCCTCATAAGGATGGCTGATAGATGTATAAAGCCCAACTATTGATACCCTTACTCCAAATGTGCTCTTCTCTTTGTCGAGTTTATTTCAATAAATTGAAATTTCATCCTACCAGTGGCTCGGAATTACATATCACTTCACTTTCTCCCTCTCAAATCTCATATTTGGATGATCAGAAAATTAATGACCTTGCATCTGAAGTACAGCTATCTACTTCCCATCACAGCGACTGCTGCCTCCATAGTCCAAACCACTATCATTCATCTCCATGGCTACTGCAATGGTCCAAGCACTCTCACCCACCACTACTGCTATCTCCATAGTTCAAACCACTATTACCCACTTTCACTGCTACTGCACTGGTCCAACCACTGTCACCCACTTCCACTGCTACCTCCATAGCCCAAACTATTATCATCCACCACCACTGCCATCTCTGTGGTTCAAACCACTATAATCTCCCTCCACTGTTACTGCCCTGGTCTAAACCACTGTCACTCACCTCCACTGCCACCTCCATAACCCACACCATTGTCATGTCTTGCTTGGGCCACTATTGTATCTTCTCAATATGTCTCACTGTTAGAATCCTCTCAAATATTTGCAGTATATGCTTTTGGAAGCAATAAGAGTGATATTTCGAAGTGTGTTCCCATAAACTTAATCTCTGAGCTCACTTCATATCATTATCTCCTTAGCTCACTGAAACCCAGGCCCATAGACCACCTAGTTGTTTATTGGACACACCAAGCATGCTCTTGTCTCAAGGTGTTTGAACTTGCTATTCTTTCTGCCTCGTATTCTCTTCTGATTTG